GTGGGTCTGTTCAGTGCGAGCTATACCCTTATAGATCCACCCACGACTTTAGCTAAGACATCTCCATATCTGTAGCTCATGAGATCTTTACCTTGCATCCGAATACAAGTAGATAAGTCGTGCTAGTCTTACCCGAGATCACTGATCCCCATTCTCAGTGTCTCTAGACTAGGAACATAAAACTAGGAATAAACATCCAGTATCCTTGAATCCTCATGATCGTGATCTCATCACAGATACTCAAGAGATACCTATTTTATTCCAAGGGGTTTATCCAGTTACTCATATATAATATTAATAGTAATATCGAGACAAAATATGAAACAGGATAAAGAATGCTTTTATTTATTTGCGACAATACAAAGTTCTACTTATGTCCTAATCTAATCAAAAGATTGTCTCTAGGACATCCATATACTAACAGCAGGATCACTTGACTGCTCCTTCATATTTGGTGGTGGAGGATGTAATGGTGGGTTCAATTGATGGTTGGAACTATAGCTGAATCCTGGGTGTTGATTCTTGTTCTTCCATGGTGGCACATAAACATTCCTTCCCTGATTTTTGTAGTTCCTTTGATTATTCTGATCATACCACACTTCATTCACCTCTGCTTGTTCTGGTGATCCCCCATAATCACACTCCTCTGTCACATGGCCTTTGCCACAAATAGCACATACACTCTTGGTTTCCACAGAAGCTACCTTTTGTGAAGAGAGTTGCTTAATAAGGGTATCCAACTGTTGTTGTTGTTGTCTCTGTGTCTGCATCAGCTGATCATTCATTGCCAACATAGCATCATACCTATCCAACCTGATGATTCCTGTCCTTCTGTCAGCCAATGGGGCATTATCAAATTCCTGAGATGCCAATGACTCAAAGATATCCAAGGCTTCTTGAGGAGTCTTGGTAGTCAATGATCCACCAGCAGTGGCATGCACCAAGGTTCTAGTGTTAGTGGTCATTCCTTGCAGGAAGATTGCTGCTTGTTGCCATGCCTCAATTCCATGCTGTGGACATTTCCTCAACAAAGTCTTGAATCTCTCCCAAGCCTCATAAATGGATTATGACTCTTTCTGCTTAAAGCTTGTAATCTCATCCTTCAACTTGGCCCTCTTGGATGCTAAGAAAAACCTCTGCAAGAACTTGGTTTGCAGATCATCCCAAGTTGTTATACTTCCTTGTGGCAATGATTGCAGCCATCTCCTTGCATCATCCGTCAGTGAATGAGTGAATAGTCTCAACAGAATTGCATCTCTTGTGACACCATTTATCTTCACAGTATCACTCAACAACAGAAAGTTCTCTATGTGCAAGTAAGGGTCCTCTGCACTGGTTCCAGCAAACTGATCCTTCTGCACCAAATGTATCAAAGCAGGCTTCAATTCAAAGTTGTTGGGCTCCACTGTTGGGCGCACAACACTCCCAATTGGAGGAATCACTGCAGGAGTCATGTACTCTCCCAGTGTCCTCTGTGGTGGTGGTGGTGGTGGTCTGTGATTCTCTGCCATTATCTCTTCCTGATTAACCGTACTGGATTCACCAATTTCTTGCAACTGTCTCCTTTGCCTGGCTGCCCTTTTGTGCTTCCTCAATGTCCTTTCTAATTTTGGATCATACAACAACAAATTCGGATCAAGTGTACCTCGCATATACCAGAATCAAAATTGACCAGAAACTTAACATAAACTAAAATACTGAAAATAAAAGGATTCAATCTCAGACTTCTATGGTATCAGTTAGTGTTGAAAAACAAATTCCCCGACAACGGCGCCAAAAACTTGTTGGACATTTAGCAAGTGCACTAGTCGTACAAGTAGTAAAATGATGAGTAAAGATCGTTCCCACGAGGAATTGTGTTCAAGCACCAATAAACCATAGAAAACTAATTTGAATCAGATAAGAATTTGTAAAAGTCATGAATAATTTGTCACCAGAAAATTGATTGTAAGTAATTTGACACAAAATAAATATGGATTAAGAATTGATAAAACAACAAGTAGTCAGAAAACAACTTTCCTCCATAATAACCCATGTAAAAACTGATCATATGATGAATTCTTTTCCATGTGATGTTAATCAACCTTTTACTTATCATCAAGATGTAATCCCTTACTACCCTGATAGATACATTAATCAGAAACCCCAATCCCTTGGTGATCTCTTTCTTAATACATGCATGAAATACTAAAGTCTTAAGATTACATCAGAACTCTAGCATCAATCCCTTGAGTACTAGAATTCTTATGTTGAGATTATCAGATACAGAAGTCATATAAACATCCCTGTTCTACACTACTTCCTTGATAGAAATAATTAAATCAGAAAATCTCAAATCAACACATGAAAAATACTTCATCATATTAATCAGATCAACATAATATTATCATGTAGTTCTATTGCATTCAGACTACAAAGACTCTACTCAGACATGACTAAGGAATAGACAAGAGAAGAAGAATCAAACTTCATTTCCATGTTGAAAGTCTTCAATCTCTAAACTATTACAAAGAAATCCTAATACAAAAACTAAAACACTAAGAGAATTTAGAGAGAAGTCAGACTAAAGTTTAAGAGAGAGAGAGAAAATATCAGATCCAGAGATCCCACTAAGTGTGAAGGCTTTGCCTTTTATAGTGTTACAATTAAAAACAAAAAACTGATGTGGGCGCTAAAACGTCCATAAATGACCGTTTTAGCGTCCATGCTTTACGTATGCTCAACTGCTTTTAACTGACTCCAACGCTAAAACGTTAAGGAATGACCGTTTTAGCGTCCAAACTTGGTGAATGCTCAATTGACTTTAACTGACTCCAACGCTAAAACTCTTGATTTGGACGTTTTAGCGGTGGAGACCAGAGTCCTTTTTCCACTTCAGGGCGCTAAAACGCTTATTGCAGGCCGTTTTAGCGCCCAATACCAGCAATTTTCCATCTTCTAAGTGCAGCAGCGCGCTAAAACGCTCTGTGTGGGCGTTTTAGCGCTCATCACCAGCAAGTTTTGGCCTCTTCTTGTAGCAGGGCGCTAAAACGCTCAGTGTGGACGTTTTAGCGCTCAACACTTAGGCAATTTTTCTCCTCTTGAGCTCCAGAATCTTCTTCCTTCTCCAGTTGCCTTTCAAGCTTGCTTTTCCTACAAAAATCATACAAATTTCCAATAAAGCTCTTGAACTTGTAATTGAGGACATCTTAGGACATTGACCTTGTTTTTCATCATTTAATCACACAATTTGATCCTAATTCTTGCTAAAAACCATGATGAACTAAGGGTTCATCACTCACTTGCAAGTATATAATAAGTTTAAAACGCAAAATACGGTGCATGTTCAAGTTCATATCTCATGTGATGTATGTAAGTGGGGTTCAATTGGCCAGAAAACAAGATAGGAATTACACACGTTTGCGACCTACCTAACATAAGGGTCGTAGCCTTATGCCTTACACACCAGGGTTGCAGCCTGATCGTATAAGTAGTCAACATCACATCTATACATTACATTAAACATAAGGGTCGTAGCCTTATACCTTACACACCAGGGTCGCATCCTGATCGTGTAAGTAATCAACAGGCATATCCACATATTTCTGACATATATCAAGGCATATATCATTTTCATAAAAGCATATCATGAACACAAACCATCTTCCAATAGAGGTCGGTGGAACAAACAACAAATCAATCCGAGGAACAGAAGCTTACCTGTCAAGCTAACTCCTCCCTCACAACTCGGTGTCCAAAGGGTCACACGCAATAACAAAGTCCAGCAAAGTCAATGATTTGTTTTCATAACATTCACATCATCAATATCCATAGTCTAGCATTTCATTGCATTAGGACAATATTTCCTTTATCGTTTAATGGCCGTAAGCTTCTCTCAAAGCCATAAGCCTTCAATATCTTAGGTTCTGACTTAGTTAGATCATTACAGAGGTTCATACTAGCCAATATAGGGTTCAAAAACCTAAACCACGCTTTTGTTTGGACAGAATAACTCAAACTATGAATTTTCCAGAATATCCGGATATTCCTCGGGGGCATATCCGGATATCCATATCCGGATAGCACTGGGCTAATATCCAGATAGCACTGGGCACATATCCAAATATCTATATTCGCGACAGAATGCAGTTTTGCATTTTCGCGAAGATATCCTTTCAAGGTTCCATTTTTAGTGTTTCCAGACATTCAAACATGCATATTTAGATACATTTAAGCTAGGGTACTTCATGTTGGTTAAATAACCATCTCATTTAACATTCCAAGACTTGATCTTTTTCATGAAAACTCAAGAACAAAGGTTGAAGCATATACCCAAAGGCTCAAAACAGAGAAGAGGGATGATCTTGGAGCTCTCTACTCAGCTCAATGATTCTGCCACTACAAGGTCACGAAAATGGTTCACAAGTTTGATCTTTTTTCTCCAAAAATAGCTTCTTGAAGCTTCAAATGCATAGGAAATGGCTTCCACTCCACAACCAATGAATTCAGCCCCTAACCCTCACTACGCTGTGGCCACAACTCAGAAATGAGGTGCCTTTCTACCTCCCAAAGCTTGCTCACACTCAACACTAGTGTTTTGGTGAAAAAAAAAGGAGAAAGGTGATCACTTGGGGTTCTCTTGAAGAGGGAAGGGGTGTCAAGGGGGAGAACACAGAAGGCAGCAGCTGCATTCATGTAGAAGCATGCAAAAATTCTGACATAGGTTATTGTGCCTTCCTATCTATAGGCGCACTAACTTAATCTGTCAATATTAGTTCTAATAGTGTAACACCCTCTCTTGTATGCATCCAAGAGAGTCGTTTGCTAATCGTTATTCGAGTTGTGGAAACGGATGAAAACTTTTTCTAAAATTTTCACCATTTTTATCAGCAACACATTTTAAGTTCTTTCCACCAAAAAATTTCTTAGACTCAGCTTTCCACAACAATTTCTACGAATGCTGGTAGGAAGAACAAGAAAGAATGAAACACACGAAGCTGCTGTCTTTGAGGCAAGGAAACATGACTATCAATGAATACATTGCAAAGTTTGCACAACTGATGGAATATGCCAATTTTGATCGTAACATCTATGATGAGGAGTGGCAAGTGGAGAAGTTTGAGAGTGGATTGCATCCCGAGATCAGAAAGCTCATGTTGACCCCGGCTATCCGTACTCTGCCCGAAATCATTAATCAGAGTCGGCAGGCAGAAGGCATTATCATTGAAGCAAGAAATTTGAATAGACAACCGGTGCAACAGCAGGGAGGAAACAGAGGGGCCAGATTCTTCAAGAAGAACACGGGAATGAACAAGGGAAAGGGTCCACAGATGCAAGCTCGGAATGGTAATTTCAAGAGAAATACTGCACCCGGTCAGTCATCAGCAGGACGTCAGGGTCCCAGTGCATGTTCTAATTGTGGGAAAAACCATGCTGGAGTCTGTTTACAGGGAAGCAACACATGCTACAGATGTGGTCAACCTGGACATTTCGCTTCTAAATGTCAAAACTATGCAAGTCAGCAACCTACTCAGGCCAGAGTGTTCACCCTCGATGCTAATGAGGCGCAGAAATATCCGAATCTTATTCGAGGTAACATAATCCTTAACGGTTATCCTATTTCTGCTATTTTTGATTCTGGAGCATCTGGTTCGTTTATGGCATACAATTGATAGGCAGGACCGATTGGGTATACACAAAAAGAACTTTGGAGATTTTGTTTTGCTAGCAATTGTTGAAATAAAAACTTAGGCAGTAAACCATTAGTTGGGATGCTTGATAAATTGAATAAAATACAAAGAATGAGAAGAATGAAAAATAAAGCCCCCACGGTTAAATTGTTATGCTGATTGCCACGCTAGGAAGATGTACCCAATAACCCTTGTATTATAATTAATTGCGTAGCAGGTTTAAAGAACTTTTTAGCGCACACATGACCTAGGAGAGTTATTATGTGGGCCTGATATTCCGTGAGCATTTTCCTTGGTAAGAAACCGAACCCTTGGAGTTAAGGAATTTAGGGACAACATGCTCTAGGCCTCCTTGCCGTACCCTAGGCTTAGTGGGGTTGGCTATTTAAATAAAACTCTGAATATTTTTATACTAAGGGAGCCAAACCTGCATGTGTTGGATTTCATCATTAAAATGAGCTACTAAATCTATAAGAAGGCAGAAATTTCATTCCGTAAAATAACCATGAAAACCGAATTGGTATATTAACTTAAGTAAGAAAGTACTCTACAGTAGGAGCTATGGGAAACCGGTCACAGAATAAAAATGAGAAGCATGAAAATTGTTGATGAATTATAGGAATGGCTTGGAACCAATTCTGATTTGTCACACATGTATTTTAGGTGCACATAATTCTTATTGAGTGAGCTGAATTTTGGTGCTGTTGATTATTGCTTGGACCCAAGGTATGTGTAGGCGGTATTACCTAATGTGACTATTGGCTAGTGTATGGAATTGTGATGTGTTGCTCACATTTGTTCTATGTATGTTATGATGATGATGAGCCAATGGTAAGAATATGAAAGGATGATATGAAATATGCATGCAATTTTACATCATAATACATTTTTCTGTTGGGTGCGATTGCATAACATGGCATGTATACTTGATTCATGACATCTTGAATATATATATATTTGTATTGAGGACATGTGACTGAGCATGCATCATATAGGCATGCCTGGTACCAGGAGAGGGGACACTTGGCTTCAGTCCGCATAGGTTCCACAGTGGGATTCACCTTCATGGGAGCCATTAGGAATACCCACTGTGATGCTACGCGCACGACGGTGCTATGAGCGTAAAGGAAAAAGGGCGTTATATACGCGTTATGATATATAATGAAAAGGATTAAATGTTTGAAGTGACTATTTATGATTTTGTGCCTAGTTAATATTGTTGCATTATGGTTTTGTTGCCACACTACTGGGATTTTCTCTCACCCCTTTGGGGCTGCTATTTTTACAAAATGGCAGGAGGACGTAAAAGCTTTTGAGGATTTGGATATTTGCTGTTGGCTTCTACTGTTTGGGCATGCTGCTATTGATGTGATATTTTATGGATGACTGTATGAAATTGAGAAGCTTGTATTACTGTGAACTATGATTTTATTATTGCATTACGATTTTATGACCAGCAAGTATTTTGGAAACAGATGTTGAAACGTTTGCGAAAAGGATTTTGACATGTTATCTAAATGCTGAATTTTGAAAAGTCTTTGCGAGCACTTTGTAAGTTGTCGTACTGAGGTTACGGACCTCCGATTTTCTTATAATTTATATGCATGCGTAGCCCCGGGTGTCTAGTTTCATTATATACAAACCTTGCAAAGAAATTCTGAAAGATCGATTTATTATGAATTTTACCAGCCAGGACATGTGTGATATTTCCACTATTTTCTCTCTTATTTTGCGAGTTATGTTTCGAGGGGAAAACGAACTCCAAATCACTATTATTTTATATGAATGTGAAGCCCCAGATGTCTAGTTTCCAGATTACAAAGAATATATTTTTGAATCGTTGAACTGGATTTTATACGAATTTTTAAAGACAGCAAGGTCTATGAGGAAATTTATATTTTTAGTAAGTTGAAGAAATTTTGCGTATTCTGATTTTAGTAATTAACCAGATCCCCTCTTTAGTTTTAATTGGCAATGTAAAAGCGATTTTTTTCAGTCTCTAAAATACTATTAAAGAACTCTAATTCCGCTTAGCAAACAACTCTCTTGGAGGCCTACAAGAGAGGGTGTTATAACAAGTGGTATCAGAGCAGGGCCTCTCTTCTAGTACGGTGTGGTTCGAGGACGAACCAGGCGGAAGCTGGTGGGCATGTAACATCCCAAGAGCTGGCAAGGGCAGGGAGTGATCGCCGGTGCGAGAGGGCACGGACAATGAGCGGCTCATGCCAAATCTTGCAGCTTGGGGGTTCATGAATGAATTGAATCCACACCCAAAAGAGAGGGATTCCAGATACTGTGCTGGTATGGGACGGCATAGTTGGGAATGGCTTATAAGAATTAATTGGTACTACCTATACTAACAAGATGCATCTACTTTTCGGTAGCCCGGATCGGAAGAACTCCACAGTTAAGCGTGCTTGACTTGGAGCAATTCTGGGATGGGTGACCTCCTGGGAAATTTTCCCGGGAAGTGTGCGAGTGACGACAAAACACACTGAAAAGTCTCGTGTTAGTGTGTGGGGACAGTCATTGATTCTTGTAAGTGGCCGGGCGTTACAAATAGCAACGCTAATTATTTTAATCTCAAATTTCCTCTTCTGAACCTAGCCATTTTTCTAGAAATTATCATATTTTTATTATAATTTTCGTACCACTTTTCCAGTACACATTTTATACGTACTCAGATTAGTTCTGGCATCAACACTCATTATTTTTACTCTAAACTTGATATCCTTTACCTAGATATTTTTCTAGGAATATTCATATTTTTATTATAATTTTTCGGGATAGTTCATCGGTACGCATCTATACCGCGAAGCAGAATCGGTATCTGCACTTTTCGTCAGAAAAGCGACTTTAAGCATTATTCGACTTTCTAAACATTTATCTTATCATAATTATGCATAATCTTTATCAAATACATGCTTCGGTATCGATAACCTTATTTAATTAATTAGCGATGCAGGTTCTTATACTCACCCCACCTTTTAAGAATTTTGTTTTCAAAATTAGAGACATACTTGTCCCTAAACTCGAGATATTGCCGGAGAAGCTCGTCCTTCCGCTTCCAAGTACACTCCTCTGGAGTTCTTCGTTCCCATTGCTCTTTGACTAAGGCTATGACCTTTCTCCTCAGCTTTTTTTCTCCACGATCAAGTATCTTGAGTGGTCAGCACTCTATCTACCGCTGTGGTGGAAACTCAGGAAACACCTCGAGGAATTTTCTCACCACAGGAATGCCGGTAATATCCTCCTGTGTCCCACTTACCAAATCTCCTAACATAAAATAACCAAATGCCCCTGCTCTCAAGGCTCTCCTAGCCTACAACACTGAAATATAAGGAGAAGAACTGGTAGGGGAATCACAAGGAGACATCACCACTCGCTTAGCACAACAATCAATCATCACACAATTCTTGGACAACCAGTCCATGCCAAGGATTATCTCCAAATTAGCCATCGGCAATCTAATCAGATCTACCGAGTACTCACAGCCATCCCGCTGAAACACGACATCGCGATGTACAGAGGAAGTATCACACTTTTCTCCGGTGGCGGCAGTAACCCGCAACGGTGGAGAAAGCACAAAAATAGGAAACTCAAGCAATCAGGGTCGTGATGAAAGAATGCGTAGCCCCAGAGTCAAATAATACATCTACAGCACGACTACCAATAGAAACGGTACCTCTCACAAGGTTCGAAGCTCGGTCCAACTGCTGGCGATCCAAGGTATACACTCGGCCCATGGCTGGTGGCACAACAGGTGCCGCTGTAGGTGGAGAAGGAATCATCTGAAGAGGAACCGCCTGAACTGCTGTAGCTCTAGCAGCTAACGAAGGACAATCTCTGGCATAGTGGCCCTCCTTGCCACAATGGAAACAAATGATCTGACCGGTGGCACACGGCCCAACATGTGATCTCCCACGTCCAGTACACCTGGGAGTAGTGGTGGAAGGTCTAGCTGCACTCCCCTGCATCAAAGTCCTCTTGAACTGGTTCGACGCCTGCCTAGCAGATAACTGCTTCCCTTTACCCTTTCCTCCAAACTTCTTATCTCTCCAGGAAGTGGATCTACTAACTCCCTTCACCTCAGATAATTTGGCCTTTTTAGCCTTGCTGACCACACATACATCCTCTATATCACGACACTGCTAAATCATTGTGCCAAAGTCTCTTGATGTCGCTCCAGCTATCCTTTCTGCTATCTGCTCATTAAGTCCCCTACGGAACTTAGAAGCCAAGAATGTCGGTGTAGGCATAGCAATCCTAAATTGTGCAAATTTTTCCAGTTCATTGAACTTAGCTAAGTACTCATTAAAAGACATCAAGCCCTACATCAACCGCTCGAACTCCCCTTGCTTCTTCTCTTGAGCATCATACGAAAGTACCTCCCTAGAAATAGCTCCTCAAAGAATGGCCACGTCCTAACATGACCCTGCATCTCATAGACCTAAAGGTGGTGTTCGTCCACCACTCATGAGCGTCTCCCTCCAGCATATAAGTAATGAACATTAACTTCTGGGGATCCGTACACTGCATCACCCTGAATATCTTGTCCAGGGCCTGGAGCCATCTAGCAGCAGCAATAGGATCATAGGATCCATCAAACGAAGGTGGCTTATGCTTACGGAAAGCATTCAGCCGACGGTCTCTAGTTTCTTGATCTTCCTTTAGCTCATAGAAGGGTTGCATCATCCTTGTGAGGTGACTAACACCCTCCATGAGGCTCTGACTATCGTCCTCAGGAATGTGCACCTCGCCTCCTCCATGCCCATCCTGGTGACTAGGTGGAGGCGATGGTGGTGGTGGTGGCGGTGGAGGTGGTGGCAGAGGATGCTGGCCACCAACATGACCAGTCCTCATCTCCTCCAACATGACCCTCATCATGGTCATGTTCGCCAGCCTATTCGCCTCAAGTACGTCCTCTATAGCTTCCCTGTTTGCCTCTCTCACGGCGTCCAGCATAACCTGATTGGCCACTC